GCTATATGTGTGTATATATATATATATATATATATATATATATATATATATATATATATATACACACACGGTTATTAAGAAATATCACCGACACAACTGTTGACCTTGAGCATCTCTAATTAAATTTTTATCAATTTCAAACTTCACATTTTTTGGGATATGGACAACTCGCTCCCCCGTAACTCGCCCCAGATTAAATGAACTTAGATGGAAATTAGGTTGTCAGGTTTCTTTATTGGCTGGTCATCTACTTTGGTCTCATTTTCTTCATCAAAGTTCATTTTGACAAAGTCAATATTTTCCTATATAAACAAAACATCCACCGCACTGATGATGATTCGTTCGGAATCGAAATATGGCCTTACTTGCAGCATGAATTCGAAAAATAAGTTTATTTTAAATTTTAATAAACTAAACGTTCACCAAAAAACTTTAGTGAGAAAAATCGAAAAAACGAACTACAAGCATGTTAACGCCAAACAATCGGTAGAATTTATAGAATATTGTAAAAATATATATATATAACATATATATATATATATATATATATTATATATATATATATATATATATATATATATATATATATATAATAAAATGGTTTGTGGATTGTTTAAACAATTTCCAAAATGATTAATTTTTTAATTTACAATCAACGCTGCTCTTCGTTTATCAAAAAATTGAAAAAAGTATTTTTTTTAAATAATACATTCAATATTAAATAATTTTTCTGTCCACAGAATGAGTTAAACGAATAAAAAAAAATAAAAATTCATTTTACATAATCAGGATCGAATTTAGAGGATAACAATATACTAAGATAATAAGAACATAATAAGAGCCTTTGCAATAAATAGAAATGAAAATGTATCCAAATTACAACGAATCAACCACAAAAACAAATGGGCGAAGAGCTACCTTACGTGCTAACAGCACTGATGACCAGAGAGAGACAGATCAAGAAAATAGTCGTATTGCTATGTCAGAAATTGCGTTATTTAGTGAGTGATAATGAAATTAATAGGCTCAGAATGCAACGAGTTCGTGCACATCAAATACAACAACAAGCACGACATAATAAAATTGAGCGAATCCGCTCCTGTGATTCTTGAACGAGCTGCATTCCACTATGATCCAGCAATTGATTACTGTTCCTACAAATTGGTAACAATTGGGAAAATGAAAATAATTTGTAAATATTGTGAGGCGTTACAATACACTCATGAATCTGAATCAACTGTTGCTGATAAACTAAATGTATGCCTAAAATCATGAAATTTATGGCAGCATGTAAAAACACTCCAATTAACAACCAACATGCGAGTATTTTTGCAACAAGTTGAAACTGCAAATGTGTTTGCGAGACAGTTGTTAGACATTGAAAATAATAAAATTGCAGTGGACACCTCGACCGGATTCATCACGTTACTCACAGATTTCTCTAACATCACAAACTCAAATGAGGAGCTTATTTAGCGTGTTTTCCCAATAAAGTGCAAAAGATCAATAACCATAATTTGGCGGCGAAAAATATAATGTCGAGGATCTCAATGCGACCATTCAGAATTTTCTTCCAGGACAGTTGTTTTCTTTTATATCAATCGACACCGTTATGAACCAGGATGACGTAGTCAACTATCCCACAGAGTTTTTAAATTCACTGAAATCGTCTGGATTACCACCTCACAATTTGCAGCTAAAAATTTGGTCAGCTGTCATCATGCTGCGTAACATTAATCAACCTCGACTGTGCAATGGAACAAGACTGGCTGTGCGATGACCATAAATAAATCGCAAGGACAGTGGTTAGAAGTTTGCGGAATCAATTTGGAGTTTTGCGCATGGACAGTTATAAGTCGTGTGTTTGCGTGTCGGAAAACCGTCTTTGTTTATTTACTCATCACAAAACAAAACAAAAATATAGTTTATAAGAAAGCTTTAAATTGATTAACAAACTGTTTCATAGCAGTGTGTGTTTGTCAATATCAAATTTGAACATTATAATAGCCAGTATTTAAGGAAAACTCTATTTTATAAATAAGCAACATGATGTACTTTTTATTAAATACGGATTCATTTTGTTTGATTTAAAATTACTTTATACAAAAGTTTAGGTCTTACTTATCGATTGAGGCAGCACAAAGTCTGCCGGGTAACTTAGTTATGGATAAAATATTAGTTCTGTTTTCATGTAGCACAGTTGAAAAAACACAAAAAATTGGTGTTGGTATTGCCGGCAATACTAAAAATCAAGTATCGGTACATATTTTAGTATTGTTAACAACACTGAAAAATTTGACATTGATTCATTTTCTGCTGGCGTCCTTGTTAAAAGACACTTGCATAAAAAAATCATTAAAAATCCAAATCTTGTTATATTTGCATCTTTTTTCTTTTAAACATTGTATACTTCCTTCTATAATTTCTTTTTTGTAAAAAAAAATTTTGTTGCACGTGCCATTAATTTTTAAAATCAATTTAAATTGCCGAGTTTGCAAAATTGGTGAAAAAGTCTCAACATAAAAAGTTAGTAATTTTTATTTTGTTTGCGAAAATTTTAATATATTATGGATTAAATTTATGTATTAATATATTTTAAATATTATTTTGCAAAAAATAAATCCTAAATTTAACTGTTGAATATCTTAAAATCAGTCATAAGCATGTGTCTTTTATAAAGGACGCTAGCAGAATATGATTCCCTGAGTGAGATTCACTTAGTTATCACATTACAAATGTTTGTTTTTCAATAGTGTAAATACAATAAAATAAACATATAAACACTATCAATGAATTATTATTAGTTTGTATGAACATAATAATAAATTTACTATTTACTGTAAAGATATTCAAGTTAACAAAATAATTTTTTTAGATTTTTTAGGGAAAATTCTGATAAGAGGTATTCTCTGCAAGATGTTTTAACCATGATTGAAGATGATGACAGCATCATTAAAGCTGACATTTTTATCAGTCCTCCTGCTGATAGAATAAATTCAGATGAAGATGATGTATTGGATGAAATACATGATCAAGGATCATTCGACAATTACTGAGTAATGCCGAAGCAGCAATTATACACATTGGTGGATCTAAAAAAATTGGCATTGTGAGTATTTATTATTTTTTTTAAATGAATAATAAATTACTATCATAATTCAAAGACATTAATAATTTTTGAAATTATTTTTAAAAAAACTACAGCAGAATGATGAATCTTGTGAAAGGGAAATTTTCAATATCTCAAAATTTAAAAAAGATAAATAAACAAGACAATGGAAAAAAGTTGTTATAAGTAAAAAATCTTCAAATTTTAAGAATTATCCAACACCAATTCTAGCATTTTTAGAAGAAGATCTGCCTCCTCGTATGTTGTTTGAAAGATTTTTTGATGATATTGTCATTCAGCACATGATAGATCAGACATTTTGTATGCACAAACAAAAGCTAACCATAGCTTTGACATCAAAATTGAAGAAATGCATGCTTTTTTGGCCATTCTGTTTATTTCAGGCTACAACCCATTTCCATCACCATCTACAACAAATGCCCAAACAAAGAAGATGTGGCCATTGTGGCAAAAAGGCAAACTTAATATGTTTTGCATGTGATGTGCCACTGCACATTGCTTGTTCACCTGATTTTCATAAATGATTTTATAACTTTTTTTAATGACATAGATTTTTTTATTTTATATTTTCAATCTTTTGTTTATTTGTTTCATAAAACTGATGAAAATTGAGAAAGGAACAATAAAAAATAATTTCAACTATGGTTGCGTCTCAGGATGTCATATTCTGCTAGCGTCTTTTATAAAGGACGTTTTAAAAGAACGTTCTAACTTTTTTAAAAATTAAAATTTTGAAAAAAGAAAAAATATGAAAAAAACAAATACATATTTTTTCTTTTTTCAAAATTTTAAAATCACGAAAATCTAAAACTTCAGCAGAAAATGGGTTTAAAGCCAATATAACAAAAATCAATTTGAGGCAATTTTAGCTATGAATTTTTGCTAGATGTCTGGAAAAAAAGAAAATACAAAAGTGTTGTAAACGTTGATCAAAATATCCATATAAGTGTTGACACAGAAAAAACACGGAAATATGGGAATAAATACGTCGAAAAATAAAAAGGTTTCTAATAATTTTGCAATGTCATATATAATATACAGCTACGGCATCTTTTTGCAAAAAATTATTTGAAAACAAGAACTATTCACTTAAACAGAACGCTGATTTTAGTAGGAATGGTAGAAAAAGAATCCCCGTCGGAGTTGAACATTTTTTCGAATAAGGGATTTTCCAACAGTTTTAAAAGTAATTGATTTTATTTTTACTGAATTTCTTATATCTGCATAATATGAAAACGTATAAAAAAAGCTAAGATAATTAGTGAAATGACGTTTTAAATATTTTTATTATTTCGTCGTAAAAAGCAGGGCCGGATTAACATATTCAGGGGCCCTAAGCATTAACAAGTATGGTGCCCGAACAACCAATCAAATCCAAGTATTATATACAATATTATATACACATAACACATACTATAATCTATACATCACATTTATTAACAAATTATGTAATTATAAGAAGATAGCGGCTAGAGCTTTAACCCTTAATCATAAGTTAAATTAAATAAGTAACTCTATGTCTACACAGCATAGACCGTGGTCCGTGGACATTGTTAGTTAATTAATATGACTCATTTATTTCAAATGAACATCACGCTAGTTCATGCAACAATTTAGTAATTGCAAAAAATTGTGGTGACTCGCCGCGGTGCCCCTTTTCATGCGGTGCCCTAAGCACGTGCTTAGTGTGCTTATTGCTTAATCCGGTTCTGGTAGAAAAAATACTTTCTAATAGATTATTATAAACAATAAATATAAAATGAAATAAACTTTTTGAACTTGTTGATTTACAAGATTTCAAAACGCATGATTTATAATCGATTTTAGCTTTACAGTTGGTTTCTTTCACATTATCGCATTGATATCTTCTCGTTACTACACCCGGTCCACAAGTTACAGAACAATGTGTCCAAGATGACCATCCTTTTTAAAACCAAATTTTATTTTTTACGAGGTTGACATTTGAAAAGATGATTTTTAAACAATGTTATTTTACATGCATACCTTCAAAAATTAGATTTTTTTTTGTTGCTGTATGCATTATTTTTTCTCTATGAATTATATAAGTGTCAGATAGCAATTTTATCATCACTTGCTTCATCATTTTCATTAAATCTTCCTTCCGATTAGTGTCATCATTTTTCATCAATTTTATTGCATTAAGTTTTTGATTAATAGCTTTTAATTTTTGAAAAGCTGCTTTTACTGTTTTATTTAAATCGTGCAAAAATAATTTTTTTGTTTTCACAAATTTTACTTTTGGTGTAACAGTTGCTCGTTTTGCTTTGGTAACAATATCTATTGGGTTGTTTAGCTTAAACTCTAGGTTTTCATTGAAGTTTTTTTGGTTTTTCATCAGGATACTGAGCAAACTATCTGAGTTTGAATTCATCTTTTGATGTTTTGAAAAGTGATCACGCTTTTTTCTATTATGTAGGAAAATCTTTTTTTTTGAAATATTTTGTACTGATATATTTGTATTGTATGGAATGATATTTTTGACATCGAACTTAGCATCGAATCCAAAATTAATATTAGTTTCAGAACTCCGAGATCGTTTACTTTTTTTTTCATATCTTGCATGAATTATTTTGTTGTCGTTACTACTATTATTAGTAGCTTCATACAGTGAAATTTTTTCTCCAAACTGGATTTTAAGATACTTGAGCTGATCAGTTTTGTACTGGCGACTCATTTTTAAATTTACAAAAGTTTTATTTGAAAATATCAAGCTACGATTCGGAACCTTTGAATAAGTTAGTTCATAACCTGAAAATTATAAAAAGTGTCCAATGATTTTAAGTTAGTTTTTTTGCGTTTTTTCAAGATTTTTATTAATATTATTAATATAAATTTTATTTTTGTAGATGTAATTTCCGCTTGCAAATTATTAAAAAAATAAAAAGAGTAAATAATAATTAATCAACTTATTAAAATAAAAAAAACATTTGTTTTAGCTGGTTTTATGAATGATATAACAAAAAAGCTTTTTTCAGTATTCCCACACTATCGTCAGAATTCGAACTGATACGTTGTATATGTGGCCAGGGGCTATTCATATATATATATATATATATATATATATATATATATATATATATATATATATATATATGTTTACAATATTCTATAAATTCTACCGAATGTTTGGCGTTAATATGTTTGTAGTTCGTTTTTTCGATTTTTCTCACTAAAGTTTTTTGGTGAACATTTAGTTTATTAAAATTCAAAATAAACTTATTTTTTTCGAATTCATGCTGCAAATAAGGCCATATTTCGATTCCGAATGAATCATCATCAGTGCTCCTTGCTGAATATATAGGGAAATATTGACTTTGTCAAGATGAACTTTGACCTTGTAAAAATTAACGTTGTAAAAATTAACTTTAATTTTTTACAACGTCATATTTGTTCGAATGTAATATTGGTGAGTGTGGGGATCATAATTTTGAATATATTGGTATGACGACAACCAAGCTATCGAGAAAACTCACAATGCATGCACAAACTGGCGGTATAAAGAATCACTTGAAAATTCGTCTTACGAAAAATTGAAATACTCAATTACAAATTGAACAATGCCTGCAATGCTGTGATATCCCTACACAAGTATTTATAAAATATACCAAATTTTTTTATTACATTTCTTAATATTTCGAACCAAATTTCTGTCGTCATTTTTAATTTTATTAAAGTTATAATATTCTATATTTTCTACATTATTTTAAATTTTAAAAAATAAATAAAAACAACAACAATTTGGTTAGAATTATTGAGAAATATATTAAAAAACTATCCAACGCTGGAAATTTTATAAATTACTGCATTAATTATGGTCTTTTTCCAGCATATGGAGTACATTGTCGAATCGACGAATTGGGTCATCGGTGAGTCTTAGAATGAGCGAAAAGTCCTATCCTTGACGAACATTTTTGTGCAGTTGTTCCACAGATCCATACACCTGTACTATCGCCGCTTCGGGCCGTCTATTTTCGTCAAGTTTTTTTTTTCAGTGAAGGCAGCTGTACATGCCAGTTCAAAAGCGGAAACCACCGACTGGGTAGACCTTCTCCATTCCGAGTGTCGCAGAGCATCAACACAAAAAGCCTTGGAGTCTAGACCACATTTTCTCATATTTTCTTTAAGGCTGTCTTTGTATCTGCGACAGGGCCACTTGGCAGTCTATTTCCCGACGCCACTTGACCAAAAAAGACCTGCTTGGAAATTTTTGTGTCTGGCATACGTATAACGTGCCTTATCCAGCAAAACTGAGTTTGAAGCAGCAGCGATTCTACACCCATTATACCGCATTTTGTCAGAACCACGGTGTTTGGGACCTTGTCTTCCCACCTGATACCTGCAATCATGCGCAGACATCTCATATGAAACTGGTTGAACCTACAAATGTGGCGACGGTAGAACGTCGAGGTTTTGCAACCATAAAGCAGTGAAGGGAGCACAACTGCTCTGTATACCGCAATTTTGGTGGCATGAGTAATTCCGTACTCTTTCCAAAGATGTCCGGCCAGCATACCAAAAGCAGCACCTGCTTTTGCAAGCATTGCTGTAATATCATCATTGATAGTTGCACTGTTGGAGATATATCCGCCTAGATAACAAAATCTATCAACAGAATTGGGACGCGAGTCGTCCGCCATCACATGGCCTCCAACATAATTGGGTAGCTCTGATACAAGACCTCAGTTTTCTTCAGACTGACTGTAAGTCCAAATCTCTTAGCTGTTATATAGAAGCGGTTGAACAGCGTCTGAATCTCGGCCTGTGTGTGTGCAACCAGTGCACAATTATCAGCAAATAAGAGGTCCCGAACAGTAGAGATCTGTGTTTTGGATTTGGCTTGCAATCGTCTAATATTAAAAACATTCCCATCCATACGATAGCAGATTGGTATCCCCTCACTACCGA